CCTAACTATAAGCTTTATCAAAGAGGAAAGTCTTAAGTCTAGTCTTAAATGTGGAGACGGTGTCTGCCTCCCGGACCGTAACAGGACGATGATTCCACAGGAGAAGAGCCTGATAGCTGAAGGCTCTGGCTCCTGATCTACTTTTGGAGACTTTAGGGACCACGAGTAACCCTGCGTTCTCAGAGCGCAGTGTTCTGGTGGGATAATATGGCACTATGAGCTCTCTAAGATATGACAGAGCTTGACCATTTAGAGCTTTATAAGTTAACAGTGGACAGCGTGGATGCACACTTCCCTCTGCGCGATGATACAGTTGGCTGGTGTAGTTCGGTAGAAAGAAAATAGTTCCTATATCTTCAACACGCGCATAAATATGAAGTATACACTTCAAGGAGTAGCACTACTTATAGTACTAGTGCAGTGCTAATATGAACAGTTACCTCAACTAACAGGTATTTTTATTGTTAATGAATTTGTCCGTCCTTTTTTAGGATTTATTGTTCAGTCTATAAAAAGTCCAAGGCTAAAGTACAACTAGAAAACTGACAGGAGTTGAATAAGAAGTTAAAATGGAAGTGCTGAAGTTAAAGTGTCAGTTTCAGTTGGAGTGCAGAGTGAAGTTGAACTTTCAGCTGAAATGAAAGTACAGAAAAGAGTTGAAGATTCAGTTCAAACCCTGGAAAGGTCAGTTAAGTCCTGAGAGACATTACTGCCACTTCAAGTGTATGAACTGGAAGATGATTTTAGTTGAAGTGTCGGCTGAAGTGGAAGAACTGAAAGCAGCTGCATATGCCCAGTGGAGGCTGTGGGAGTTAGAAGAGCTGAAGAAAAGAATTTTTTTGTAGTTGTTTGAAATGCGAAGACCTGAGATCTGTAAGGGTTTGAAATATTGATGTGTAAGCTTTGATAGGAGTTGAAATTTCAGTTGTTTGTTTTGACCAAAAAGTATAAAAAAGAACGTTTGTCAGCCCTGTGCTGGTTTGTCTACTTCAGCATTATATTTCTCTGCCTCCCTGTCTGATGCGTGCTGGAGGAGGCTTTGTCCCTGATCAGCAATAAGCAACAAATGACTTCACGATTAAGGGAATGGATGACTCAGAGGCAGCACTCACAGTTAACGTAGATGAGCATGTATTTGGTGGAGCTCTGCCTCAGGTTGCCCAGACTGGCGACACAGTACAAGGCTCCGGCATGATAAGGTCGGGGTCGATGAATGGTGAAGCCCTTCCTGACGTTAAAGGAGATCTCCGACCCGTCCACTGCCACCTCCACCGGTGGATACTCGCGGTGCAGAGTCACTTTGGCCTCAGGTGACGTCACCTGGCAGGGAAGGAGCGTTGGCCAGTTGGTTCTCAGCTGAATCACCTCGTAGTAGTCAGATGTCGGAACAAATAGCTCCTGTGGATCTGGTTGGTCCAATGAGAAGATATGGCAGATTAATGATAAGATAACATGTTAAAAGGCTTCCTATCAAGCTGGTGGTGAAATAAATCAAAGGCCTGCAGTTCTGAGAAGTGCACGTGTAAATATCAATAAAGTTTATTCACTGTACCGGGAAAGAAGACAAAGACTTTGACAGCTTTGTCATACTCCTTCCTGCAGTCTGAGTCCTCACAGTACATAGGATAACAGGTGTACTCCCCTGTGTCTGCACCAGTGGTGTTGACTAATGTTAGGGCGCCATATCGGTCCTGTTGGACAATCCTGCAGAGCCAGAACAGGAAAACGTCTAATACCATACTGACTCTCCAGCAGATTTTATCGCTCTGTCATTAGAAGAATAAATCATGCACAATAAAGATTCATCAATGGCGTAGCTTGCCTGAGCCTTCCATCATCATCATCCTCCAGGTACGTAGGAACGCTCCACTGCACAGGTTTGCCCCTGCACCTCAGCTCCAGAGTGTCTCCCGTCTGCACACTTATGGTCTCTCCCACCTTTTTAAACTTCCCTCTGTTTAGCACCTTTAAGTGTCAGATAGAAATCACACAGTTGTACACTGATTCCTTCAACACATCAAAAGTTACAGTGTCATTGATGACATACCTGTGTGAGGAGGGTTTGT